GTAAATATCCTAGATGGTATCACAATAGTATTTAACATATTAAATGAAAAATATATTTATTCAAAATGTTATTTAATAGAAATAAATCTACAGTAAGGTGCGGCTAATATGTTACAAGATTGAATATAATTCTTGTAAAAGTTATTTGATTCAACGCATTGAAAACACCACCAAACTGTGGCTTATTTATCAGACATTCATTTGATATGTTGTTTGGCTCTACAAAACACATTACAAACAAAAATATCTCATTTTTTCCATGATGACCACTATTTATTTTGTTCCAGGGTGATATTTACCTTATTCAACTTAAAAAATATTTAATAAACTATTAAAAAATAAAATATAATGTGCAAAATAATTATTAATATGTAAATCTTGCATTGAGATAATAATAAATTGAATTTTTAAATTAGATCAATTTTTAACTAATATTTCAATATTAGATAAAATTGTGATTTTACCGAAAAATGGAGATCCATTATAACATAGCATTGAGTTTTCCATAGATGGAAACTTGAAAATAGTAGTCATCAAGGAAAAATTAGATATTTTTGTTTGTAATGTGTTTTGTAGTGCCAAATAACATATCAAATGAATGTCTGATAAATAAGTTACTGTTTGGTGGTGTTTTCAATGGGTTAACTCCAGTAACTTTTACAAAAATTATATTCAAACTTGTAACATATTAGCCGCACCTTACTGTAGATTTATTTCTATTAAATAACATTTTGAATAAATATATTTTTCATTTAATATGTTAAATACTATTGTGATACCATCTAGGATATTTACATAATTAAGCAATTTATAAACGAAATTTTAATAAAATGTGAATTTTAAAGTAACTGTACACCATAGAAAAGCAGGATGGCCAGAAATGGCCATATTACAATATTTGTAATGACATTCTCAAAACCCATACACAAACTCAATTTTATTTTATATGAGTTGGAAGTAAGAAAACTTATTATAGAAAAGTTGAAATTAATTAGAAAATGTGAAAAATAAGTAATAAAAGTAATGATTTCTGTGAATTATTTTTTAAGTCAGGTGAGCCAGGTACTAACAATCAATAACATTTGCTCTTGTCTGCTGTACACTAACGTGTTTATCAATGACATTGAAACGATGCCAAAAAGTATGTTAATATACTTTATGATAGCTATGGGCAACTCAGATTATAAGTTAGTGGAAAAAGGTTTCGATATTTCCAGAAATTATTGACAGTATTTCGAGAATATAGGAAATTCCATGGATAGTATAATTAAAGTTAAACAAGGTTTATTAATATATTTTAATGAAATTTAAGATATAGAAAATTTTATAAATAATTTTATTCGAAATATTAATCAAAAATTATACTATTCATTGATATTTACAACAGACATTTCCAACATTTTTAACGACTAACTTTAAGATACAGGGCAAAACTAGACTTATTTCGATGTTTATAAGACAATTATATATGTTTACTCCAAGTTGCGCTCATTAAAAACAGCAATCAAATCATCTCAGACAATCGTTTCAATGATTTCAGTAAACATGAATCAGAATTTAATCAAGCACTCTCCTTTCAAGCATTTTCCTTTCAAGCCATCCCCTTTCAAGCCTTCCCTTTACTGACCCCTATCTTCTAACTTGATTTAACTTTACAAAGCTAATGCAAAATACAATTTTAATTGTGATATAGCATAATTTTATAGATTTTATTGATTAGCGATAAATATCTAATTTATGAAAATACAATTCTATATTAGCTTAACTGTAAATGTGGGTTTAAATAGCATTGCTTGCAAACCTTGTTCTATAATTAATTTAATTAAAACTAAGCTAACGCATAAAATCTCGGATAAATTACTTGAAGTGAGAGTTCGAATATTCAGCCCTAAAGACATCAAACCAGATATTTAACAATTAATGACAAAACACCGATATAATAAAGGCAATTAATCTATTGATTTATAAGTGCTCTGGAGGAATGACTGAAAGAACCTCCATAACAAATAAGGGTGAGACACGTTCTGGTTGACCTACACGTGATGTGTCTCGAATAACGCTAACTGACCAGAAAATTGTTTTTATTTATGAATTTTACCATATTTTGACTTTCCATGGAATTTCTTATATTCCCGAAATACTGTCAATAATTTCTGGAAATATCGAAACCTTTTTCCACTAACTTATAATCTGAGTTGCCCATAGCTACTTTATGATGTTAAATATAAACTTTAAAACATGTAAACGTAATAAGCATTATAGCAATGCTATACTCAACATTAAATACTACACGAATATAACGCCATTGTATAGTGAAATAAATACAATATGTTTCACATTAATGTATATTTAAATTAGTTTTAATTATTACAACAATAACTAAAAATGAACGTGGATGAAACACAACGATTATTTTATGATCACATCAATTCATTTTATAGTGATCTTGATTTATCGGAAAAACTCATCAAGCTACTGCGGACACACCCATGTAATTATAAGCTAGATAATATACTGGTGAGTTATTATTACAATTTGATTATTAGTGATATTTTGTATTGATTATTAGTCAATTGTAAGTGATAAATTATATTTAATTTATATTCACCTTGCTTTTTTAATGTTCAGAATTAATAAACATTACAGTAATTCTAATTTATTTTAAAATTCATTGTAATTAAATAAAAAATAAACACATACTGCATATTAATTTCTCACAATTATCAAGTGCATTTTAATCATTTTTAATATAAAAAATATTAATAAATTGTTCATTTCACCAGTACCTCTTAATAATATTTTAATATAAATGAATTATTATAAAAAATAATATTAAGGTGTAGGTCAACCATTGTTATTTTTGGGATTGTATATAACTGCCTATATTAAGGAATACTATTACAGTGTATTTGTCACAAATATATTTACAATGAATCAATACTTTACAATTAATATACTGTAGTTTACCTATACCTTAAAATAAAACCTAGTGGCAAATTTTATAGTGGTCAGTATTACCAGTCTAATATTATATTTTATCTAACCGTGCGCTGAAATTTAATTAAGCGAGTTTGAGCTATAGTGAGCTGACTATAGTGATCACACATTATAACTGTTATTTACATTATTTTAAAAAATTTAATATAATGAAATATTTAATTAAATATATCAATTTTTAAAAATAATAATTGCAAGCTAAATTCAAAACTAAATAGATAGAGAATTGCGTTTAGTAAATACTAGAAGCATGTTGCATTCAAAAATATTTAGTTTATTACTGCATGTTGTGCTTTAATTGTAGCAGCATGATCAATTAAAACTTATTTTATTTAGAGGAGAGCAGATGTTGAGGAGAATAAACGGGAAATATTGCTACAGTTCTCGCAACCGCACCACCACCTCCACGAATTAGCGGACATATTGGAGAAGTCGGGTCAACCCCAAGTTGCCGACCAGTTGCGTAGTTTTAACCTAAAATTAAAATCAAATCAATTTCAACGACTGAAATTTATTGGTGGTATAGGTTATGGGAGTGTATACAAAATTAAGCACGCAATTGATCAAAAAGTTTACGCACTTAAACAAGTAGAATTAAATGGTTAATTATAAAATCTCAAATATTTCAATTAAATATATTTTTAACGTTATGCATTTATAAAAATTTTAGATTTCGATGATAAAGAAAAACAATGGATAAAGGGCGAGGTAATACACTTGCAAAACCTTCGATCGCCATACGTGGTCGAGTACTACGACAGTTGGGTAGAGGGCAACACCTTTTACATAAAAATGGAGTTGTGTTCGGATAGTCTTTCAAATATTCTCAGACTTAAGCCGCAATACTTCTCGAGACAATTGGGAGAACCCATGGATTTATTCGAGTACTTCATTTCGTGCGAAATATTTAAAGAGATCTTAGAATGCGTTCAGTATTTACACGGATTGTCATTAATTCACAGAGACCTCAAACCCGACAATATACTGATCGTTAGAAATCCTGTAAAGGGGAGATTTATAAAATTATGTAGTTTAGTATTGACTACGATTCACGATAAACGCATTCACTACAGAACTACACAAAAACATACGAGAGATGTAGGCGACATTAGATATATAGCACCAGAAAATACAATGGGTGAAAAATATGACCAAAAAATAGATCTTTATAGTTTAGCAATTATCGTGGCAGAAATATTTGACCTGGATCTATTCAACATAAGCAAGTTCGTGATTATTACTATAAATTAAATCTATTCGTATGTTACTGTAATATAATCTAAATTAATATTTATTTAAATATTTCAGGACCCAGCAATATTCTGTGAACAACCCTGAGTTAAATCGACCGGTACAGCAGTTGCAAATACTATTGGACTCAATGTTAGCTAGAAATTGGCACAAAAGACCCGATTGTAAAGATGTTCTGGATAAATATAACGAGTGGTCTATTGATAAAAATATTCTTCTAAACGATGCTAATTTAATGTCAACGTTACATTCGTACAAATCACGTGATCCACAGTTTTTCTATGAATTTATAACAACTAAACTGCAAATACAAACCGAGGAAAGCAGCTTAATAAAAATTAATGAGGGACATTATCAACACTCATTTGAAATGTTATGTAAAATTGGATCAGGAGGTTTTGGCGATGTGTTTAAGGTGAAAAATAAATCAAGCAATGAAGAATACGCTGTTAAAGTAATTGATTTCATAGCGAAAGGTATATTGTTATTTAGCTTATATTTAATAACATGTTAATTATTTAAAAAATTATTGTAGAATTGAATGATAAACATAAAAGAGATGTTTATAAAGAAGTGGAATATTTAAAGCGAATTGACAACAAATATATTGTCCAATGTATGGACGCGTGGAGGGAAATGGATGTCGTTTATATTCAGCTCGAGATGTGTTCACAGAATCTGACGAATATTCTGGAAATCAAACCACAAGTCTTCAAACGATTGCCAAAAGAACCCATGAATTCATACGAATATATCATTTCGTGTGAAATATTTAGAGAGGTTTTAGAATGCGTTCAGTATTTACACGGATTGTCAATCATTCACAGAGACCTCAAACCCGACAATATATTAATTTCTGATAATTCACTAAAAGGACGATTTATAAAGTTATGTGATTTCGGTTTAGTTACAAAACACGATAATATTATTCACAATAAAACAGTCAATAAACACACAGCAGGGGTGGGCACCGATCCATATATAGCGCTAGAAGTTATATTCGGTGAAAAATACGACCACAAATGCGATATTCATAACCTAGCAGTTATTGGTGGCGATATATTCAGAATAAATGTGCTCACTGATTTAGACAAGTAACTTATAATTTTAATTAAAAATATTGTTTTCAATAATATTTTTCATATTTTTAGTAACCAACAATATTCGTCCACAAACAGGCAACTAAATGAGCCAGTATCTCAGTTGAAACAAATTTTGGATCAAATGCTGGTCAGGCGCTGGAATGAAAGGCCGGAATGTAGTGAAGTGTTGGCTAAATATAACGAGTGGTCTATCGATAAGAATATTCTCGCAAATGATTTGGAATTTGAGTCCACACTAGAGAAAGTTCATGCGATTGAGACACAGATAAGGGAAAGGGATGAGAGTGAGAGAGACACTCAATATATTAATTACAGACTTAATGATGATTATTATGGCGTACAGAATGGGAAACTTTTTTTCACAAATTATTTATCATATATATCAATGCACTAGAATCTATTGCTAATATTCAAATATTATTTGTTTTATTATTTCAACAGTGTTTTTAAAAATAAAACGTAAAATATTTATCAAGTAATTCAAAACATTAACAAACATTTGTCCCTATTTATCTGATAATTAAAATAAGTTTTTGAAAAAACATATAAAATTTATAAACTTTTTATAAACTTTTAATAAAAATTGTTTTCCTGTTTAGGGCGAGAATCCATGTTTCCCTCTATACCTCCTATTGGTTTACCTGTACTTAGTTATTGTTAGGCAGACACTAACTGCTACACCACTCTTTATTTATTTTTATATTATTTTGAATGCTATAATTTAATGTCAATTTGACTTATAACATGACTCCATTTATTTTACAATTTATTTAATATTTAATTTTGTTTACAAACTGTAATACAGTATATGATATTAAATTGTCTATACTTAAAAGTATGTTATAAAATGTAAACTTTTGATTATCAATATTTCAATAAAACAAAATTTATAACGTTATAAACATAGAGAAAATTTTGATTTTTATATATTAATTATTTTAAATTTATTATTGTGTACAATTAAATTTCAATGTGTTGAAATATTTGTCACTAGCACCTTGGAACATTTGAAGGTAGCCACAACAAATGCACTGCTTATACATGACCATGGGTCGACCATAAATTTATCTTTTAAACTAATCACGATTCAATCACAGCTCCATTTCCAGCTCATTAATCACATGAATTTGACCAGGCTCTTTTAACACGTGCTTTGTTTTATCGCCCACTTTGTACGACTGGCCCTGTCTGTACGTATTAAGAAGAACCTGGATACTACCATTCCAGGTCAAAACCACTAAAGTACTTAAGTTACATACCGTATATTAGTTTAAAATGAATTCACTTAGAACTATATTAAATATTTTTTAGGTAAATAATTTGACAAATTCTAATTTTTATGAGTAATAAATTTATTATTTTTATATAAAAATTATTTAATTATTTAAGTCATTGTCTACAATACTGTATAGTTTTCTCACAATTAATAATACTGTCACCTTGTAAGTTTAAGTGCTAAGTATTATTTAGGGACTGACTTTTTGGCACACTGAAAGCGAGAGAGCTTATAATTTTTAATATTATTATAAAATATTAATTTTTTTTATTAATTTTATACAAAGTATGTAATGTAGATTATAGTTAAATCAGTTAATAATTTAATAATTTTAATTGTAATTACATATAAATAGCTCTCTCTCCCATTTAGGACCACGTAATTGGGAGAGAGAGCTATTTAAACATGATTTAAACTATAATTATTAAATTATTATTAATTTAAACGATAGTATATCATAGTCTTTCTATAAAAAATTAATAAAAAATTAATATTTTAAAAT